TACAGCACAAAGACAAACAACAGGGAGTCAACATTTTATGAAAGTAAGACGGTATAAGAGGTGTGGATGTGGTTTCGATCTTACCAATAGCTCATGTTGTTAAAGTGCTCCGTGAACTGAGTCAGGTTTGGACTCTTCTCCTCATTCTGCTCCTTGGCCCAAAGCAGCACCTCCGGAATCTGAAGGAAACAGAAGGAAAAAAAAAAAAAGGGTTGATTTTGTAGAGCTCAGTGGGAGGATCGACAATTAACTCAAACACAAACAAGCCAGCTCACCTCAATTTTATAGAAGAGTTCAGCATCAAGAAGGGTGAGCTGATCAGCAATCTCATGACTGCGGAAGTCATGAAGCGTTCCAGGCCTGTTAGGACACAGACAGGAAACTATTAGGTGATGACTTTGGCTTTTAATTAGTCATTGCAGATTGGCTGGAGTTACAGAAGTGGAAGAAACCGAAACAACTCTTTCCAGTCTCAACTGGTAATTACTTGTGAATATAAATAGCTTTATAGAAAGTCTGGTGATTTTGTAAAATAAATGAATGTTTGAGAATTTGAATTTCAATTTGTAAATGATAAATTTGAACTCTTACAGTTTTTGTAAGAAGAGCACAGAATTTGCTGCTTTATATTAAGAATAGAGACTCAACCCTTCAATTGTACTTTCAGACACCATCAATGATTGTGTGTTTATTGTGTGTCACACTGTACCAATGTGTGTCTGACTTGAAGTGTGGCAAACTGTGCAATGGACGTATGGTTAAATCCAAAGCTATGATGTAAAGTATAGAGAGTAAACACAGGTCATCAATCTGCACTGCTATTTAGAAAATGCAGCAGTGTAAGGTTTTCTTCGGTTCCATAAATAGCTGCAAATATGTCTGACATTGCAAACCATAACTGTTCTCAACCAAAGACTTCCACATTTCTGCAAGACTGTATCTGGAAAATAATATTTAAGAATATTTAAGTTGCAATAATTTATCGTTTGTATTTATGGCCAATCCTATTTCTCATGTTAATGTTTATGTTGAATAGAAATACATGGCATTTTGTCACGACTGATCGACATATATACATATATATATATATATACACACACACACACAACCCTGATGATGGCAAAATGTTCAGGGGGATAAAGCATGGTGTGTTAGAGATGCAAAGTGTTTCTTTATTGGTTTCCATGGAAACACGATGAAACCATTATAACATCATCATCTGGGAATGATCAGTTTAAGCAGTCTTGTGGTTCCTAATGACGAGTCTACCAGGCAATTAACAAAAAACCCCTTGTTCTCATCAAGGGTACAGAGCGATAAGAATGACAAAAGTGCAGCTTTCCACATGTACCATTGACACCTAACTACAAACCTCAGGAAGAGCTGGTCCCCAACCCTCACAGTACCTTGCAGAGACTCCTCGGGCAGCGAGGGGCTTGAGGGAGTTAGTGTAGCGCAACAGCTTCTTCTGCTCCACCTTATCCAGGATGTTCTTGCGAAGCACACGGGCAAGGCTGAGCTCGCCATTGCACACCAGCGTAAACACCAGGTCCATCAGCTGTTTTAAGATGTCCTCTGTCAACTCCACCAGGCTGCGGGACAGAGGAGGAAGAAATGATTAATATTTGTCATGGAAAAGAAAAAGTACTTCAAGTAATTCACCCATCAGTTAGAGAGAGATTTGGAACCAAGAGATTACAGAAGTAGGAGCATATATTCTGCCTCACAAGAGTTCTGAACAGTTTAAGCAGTGTGTTCCCTTCTCAGATATTTCACTGGAAATATTTTGTGATTGTTATTTAAAAACCATATTTACATTAAATCTCAAAGTAAGACAACACACAGGTCTATTTAAGGCACTAGCAACAACTCTGTTTCTAAACTTACACATGCTTTGATTCATTAGTTCATAGAGATTAATGTTCCCCTCCATGTTCTGCATCTACTGAAACTACATTCCCCAGAAATATGATGTGGTACTCACCACAGCTCATCCACCACACGAACCAGCACAAAGAATGTGTTCTTGCTAACTCGCTTCTTGAAGGTGTCCGGACTGTGGCAAAACCTGGTATATGTGCTTTGTGGTCAAGGACAAAAGCAAACAATACTATATGTGGATAACAAACTACAACAGCATAGCTCACACAAACAACAGACTATTAGACATTTATGATGCTTCACAAAGGGAAGAGACAAGAAACTTCTCTTTTAAAATATAGTGTATCCAGCAAGGAACACCAGTCAAGGAACAGAGTTCCACAAAATGTTACTGTTGCCTGAGGCTTCCTTTGGTGGCCAGGGGGTATAGTCAGCACGGTGCTTTAATTGGTCTACAAAATGTCAGAAAATGCCCATAGTGGTTAACTAAAGCCCAAGGTGATGTCTTCAAATTAGGGGTGCACCGAAATTTCGGTCACCGAAAATTTTCGGCCGAAAAGGCCATTTTTATTTCGGGCCGAAATAAAAAAACACGCAGAAAATGCCCCGCTCCGCCCCGAGGCGTACACTCCCTCACTTTCCGAGATGTTTGACGAAATTCTACAGAAAAGCGCCCCGATCCGCAGCGGTGGAACAAGCGCAGCCTTACAACAACTGGACACTTATCTAGGTGAACGACCCATTGCCAGAAGCGACAATCCACTCGACTACTGGCGCTCCAGCAAAGAGCGCTTTCCATTACTTGCACGGGTTGCACGCAGGTATTTATCTGCCCCAAGCACCAACACAGACAGTGAGAGAC